TCGCACGTGCAGCCAGCTTTAACCAGTCCCTGGACAAGTGGAACACTTCCTGCGTGGTGGATATGAGCTACACGTTCCGACATGCCGTTGTATTCAACCAGGCCTCGGGGTCTTGGGCTAGCCATGGCTTAGATCAGTGTATTCCATCGAAAGGTGAACCAGAGATAAACCAACGATGTATAAAGAGTACCATATTATTCTCACTCTTGTTTCGGTCAATACATGTGCTCCATGAAGTTGTTTTGTAAGATTTCTAGGCTTTCGCAGAGTTTTGCCAGTGATTTCGGGAGGATTTTGCAGGTTGATCGCCATATTGAAAACAAGTAGAGATGTTGCACGATTTAAAAGCTCCGCGGAAGGACGAGAGGACGACAGAAGACACTCTGATATATTGATATTTATATAAGCAAGTCCTTTTTAGGGTTCCCAGTATTCCGCATGTTTTTTTCTCCCATTTGTGAGGCCGTGGGCTCCTGGGACACCTCGCAGGTGACCACTGTGAGGAGCATGTTTTACGGAGCCGGGAGCTTCAACCAGTCCCTGGACAAGTGGAACACGCCCTCCGTTGTGGATATGAGCTTTGCGTTCTACGATGCCGTTGCCTTCAACCAGGCCTGGGCAGACAAGGTGTCAGCGTGAGCTTGCATGTCAACCCTGCCAGCTTTCTGATCACGGAGCTGATCAGCCTTGTTGTTGGCATGCCAAGCCCACTCATCGTCAGGGTCAAGTGCAAGAAAAGCTTCAAGTTTGAGATGAGACTTGGTTTTATACAACTGGATAACCCGACTTTTATGTTGCACGGTGGCAGCCCACAAGTCCCCATGGCTATGCCGGCAAACAGAACCAAAAGACAAATGCCTCCAACCTTACACCACAAATTTGGCACCAACAACAACCCGCGGGGGTCCATGCGTGCGCTGCAACAGTTCAACAAACGCAGTTAACCCAGCCCTGGCCCACAGTGTTTGGCCCTACCGAATCCACAAGCAAACCACAGACACCTCCAACAACATCAAACACAGCAGCCAAATGTTGTTTTATTGCCACCACAGCCCACGCACATTTACGCAGTCTGGGGTCTTTGGAATGCACGCCACCAGAGCCATCAGTGCCAAACCAGACGTCATCCCAAATGAAGCCAGGTTGCAGGAAACATTTGGTAGCAACAAGCCGCGATCCCAAAAGCACTCCTGCCCTGGGGAATCCACCAAGTGGCCGCAAGTGGCTGCAAATGACTGCAAAACCAAAAATCAAAATGTACATCATTTGCTCGCTCTTTGGTATGTTTGTCAGTCCCGGTAAGGATATCCACGACAGAAGGTAGAGCCCAAGGCCACCATGCCATAAACTCTTTAATGGGGTGCCGTTGTCTTCAATCAGGCCTGTCGCCTTTGACCATTGAGCACCTAGCATGATAGCAAATTGTCTGAATGAGAATAGCCGTAAAATGAACTTGAGTTTTGCCAGTGATTTCGGGACGAATTTGCAGGTTGACCGCCATTTTGAAAACAAGTGGAGATGTTGCACGATTTAAAAGCTCCGCGGAAGGACGAGAGAAGACACACTGATACATACACATGTCCTTTTTTTAGGACTTGACTAGCCTAGCTGTGTCCCAGGCCTGGTGCAAGAACCAGCCCGCCGACTTGTTACACTTTAGTGATACCTTCAACCAGCCCTGTGGGCTTAGGCCCCCAAACTCGAGGTACCTTGCCCAACCCGTGCAAAAGGGACGAGAGTTCACAATTTTTAAAAATACAAATTGGTTACTCCCAGTGTTTTTTTGGATACGGAATGATACGGACACGTATTTTTTCTCCCATCTGTGAGGCCGTGGGCTCCTGGGACACCTCGAAG